CCCTAGTGGCATTCAGCAGCAGCTTTCTCAGCTGTTTGTCATCCACAGCCTTGGGAAGATTGTGCAGGCAGAGCCTGGTCTGGGAGACAAAGATATTCTGGTCCTTAAGCTTCTGATGCTTCAGTAGCTCAAACTGAAAAAAATTGAACACCAACAAACTGTTAACAGTTCAATCATCTTATAAAAGACAGATTCAAAAAATAAAAAATAAGACAGAGGGCCCCTGGGGCCTGCTGAGATGGCAACTGAGACTGGGCGTGGTGGTGCACGCCTGTAATCCCAGCTCTTGGGAGGCTGTATACAGGTGGATCGCTACGTGTTCAATCTAGTAGTGAGACCCTGAACACCCTGTAGACCTTTTCTAAAATACGAAAAAAAAAAATAAAGTTTCATAATTCTCTAAAAGGAAAGACCATGCCCTTCATCCCATAAAATCACACATACAGAAAAAGAGAACTGCCCATGCCTACAGCCTTCTGCTATCCAACACAGGAAAAGAAGGTTGAAGGAGGTAAGATACAGAGTAGAAAAATCACAGGCTCCACACTCAAATCTAAACTAGCAGAGCACTAAATTGAAGAAATCTTTTTGTCTTTGCTGAGACAGTATCTTACTATCCGGGCCTTGAACTTGCTATGTAGCTTAGAATGGCCTCAAATTCACAATTCTCCTGCCTCTGAGATTAAGGTATGTGCCACCACCCCTAGAAGTCACATGAAATTTCAAAGACTTGATTTTTCATCCAGAAAATGGAACTGCTTGAAATATGAATCTCTTAGCACTGATGTGAGGCCAAAATGAGATTATAAAAGAAAAAATCTCTAGTTCAAAATGTGACAAATAAATAAATAAATAATACTGCAGTAAACATCCATTTCTGGCCTCCATCTACCTACTAACTCAAAATAATCTAGTGTCTCCTTCCAAAAGGAACTAGAACCTATTTAGACAACCCTTGATAGAATGGTGTCTCGTCTCAACTCTGCCACCTAGAGGCAAATGCCGGTCCATAACCATGGAAATATGTTCTGCTCTTTTAAACTTTTTTTTAAAAAATGTATTTAGAACAGGATCTACAGGGTCTCACTACTAGATTAGACTTGTAGTGATTCTTCTGTTTTCAGCCTCCCATGTACTGGGATTACAGGTGCACGCCAGGATGCCCAATCTGTCACCCTCTCAATGCGCCCCAGGGGCAGGGCCAGTTGCCCTTAAGACAGCTCCCTCCGCTGAGCTGCCACAAACATTAGCGCCCTGGTGACCAAGCCTCTGTGTGTACTGCAAGATCTGGCAGCATGCTCCTCGCAAACCTTTACTAAGAATTAGGGAAGCCCGGAGTAAGGCCCAGTCCTTACAAACCACGTAACACGGATACAATATTGTGGATAATGTTGGGTTACTTGCTGTTTCACCTGTGTGCTTTTCCCTTTAGCAATCTGTAAATAAGGCCTGCAACATACTTAGCTCTTTGGTAAGCACACAGAGCATTCAGTACTTGTTTCTGATTGATTTATAAACTATTCCGAGCCTGAAAGCTGGTGCATAAGCTACTTACACGTTCTCGTTTGGCCATATCAGCAGCACTCACACCCTCAGCAGCCTTAGTTCCAGCACGGATCACTGCAGAAAAAGGGAAAAAGGCCAAGACATCACCAAGGGAATTTTCACTGAGCAACAAGAGGAATGTGATGTGAATGATGCAAACTCTCTGCACAGGACCCACAGGACTGTGTTGGCCAGGACGTGGTGGCATTTGGTTAGGCCCAAAAATAGGCTACAGGGCTAAATTCTGTGCTCAGAGGTGCTCTCAAGGTCTAAACTACCAAACATTTTGTGATTTTGCTGCTATTCTCCTCTCCCCTCACATACTTACACAATGTTAGATGGAAAGGGCTGGCGGAACTTCTGAAAATAAGTACAATTAAGGAATCTGGGATGCAAAATGCTCTACCTACATCTTGCCCCTGAAACTTAGCTGCTTCTCACGTTCTTGGAGGCCAGTCACTCAGCTGTAAGACAAACCAGTCTAGAGAACAGACCTACTGCCGGAGAGGCCAAAGACCAAGGCTATGCCTCGCATGGCTAGTCAGGATTGTGCAGCTGTGCAAAAGGCAGGCCAAGAAACACTATGTGACCAAGAAAGGGATTTTGTTTTTAGCTTCAAGCTAATTTCTGATTTCCCTGTGACATGAAGGAAAAGCGCTAGTTGCACATTTTAAATCTATGAATAACCCAAAAGAAATTTTAGTTGCACTTTTCAACTCCTTCAGAAGCAGCAAAGATAACCTGAGTTTTTCTCTCCTCTTTGCCTTGCCAATCTTCTAATAAAAGTCTAAAAACAACCAGGCAAAAAGATACCAAGACTAATTAATTCACAAAAATGAATGAAAGCCGCCTGCCTAATAGAAAGCCATACTTACTAAAGTGGAACAACAATATAAACCAGTAAAAGAAGAAATTTGTTCTTTAAAAATTTGAAACAGCCAGGTGTGGTGGCACATGCCTGTAATACCAGCACTTGGGATACTGACGCAAGAAGATTGTTGAGATTTTGTGACCAGTCTGGGCTACCAAGTGAGTTTAAAGCCAGCCTCTTAAAGCCAGCCTGAACTACAACTACATAGTAAGACCATGTCTCTCTCCCTCCCTCCCTCCCTTTCTCTCTCTCTCTCTCTCTCTCTCTCTCTCTCTCTCTCTCTTTAAAAAAAGAAAGAGAAACAAAGAGTTTAAACATGCTCCAAAATATACAATTGCTAGTTTACTGTCATGGCATGAGACTGGCTACTTATTTTGTTTTGTTTTGTTTTTTGTGGTACCAGGGATTGAACTCAGGACCTTGAGTTTGCCAGGCAGGCACTTATGCCAGTAAGCTATCTCCCCAACCCCAAAGCCAAAGCCTGGCTCCCACCTTAAGTTCCACTACTCACAGCCTTCTCGAGCCAGATAAAGGTTCCGGGTCCCAGTGGGCTTCTTCACTTTCTTTGTCTGAAGTTTTGCAGCCTCATCACGGGTCACAGCCAAGTCAACCTTGAGCTGCCGGCCATCCAGTTTAAGCCCACCACCCTGTAACAGATTGTAGTCCTCTCTTCAAATACATAACAAGCACAATCTAAGCTCTTGACAAGGAGCACTGATATGAAGGACTCACTAAGCTGCAGTACAATTATACTACAGAAGCCACACCCCAGGATGTTCAGCCTGGCCGGCTACAAATGGATCCCTGAGTCCCACAACATTGTCTAGTTGTATAAAAAGTATACTGAAAGTAAGGTGCATGTGGTGGCACACAACTACACCTGGAATCAGGAGGCTGAGGCAGGAGGACTGAGGCAGGAGGACTGCTGCAAGTTCACGACCTGCCTGAACTATATAGCAAGACTTTATTTATTTATTTATTTATTTATTTGTTTATTTTTTCATCCCCTCCCCAAGACTCTATTTTAAAAAAAACAGGCTGGGTGTCATGGTGCACACCTGTAATTCCAGCACTGGGAGGCTGAGGCAGGAGGACCTCCATTAGTTCAAGGCCAGCCTGGGCTTCATAATGAGTTCAAAGCTGTTCTGAACTACACGACAAAACCCTGTCTCAAAAAAAATTTACTGAGGATAATCAGCAGTAAGGAACTGACTTTATGGGAGTTGATTAGAACCAAAGTAGGCTTAAATTGAGAAAAATGATCTGTTAACAGATAATTTTCAGTATTCTAAATAAAATCAATGCAATGGTAGTATTTTTTTTTTTAGTACTGGGGACCAAACTTAAGGCCTTGTGCTTGCCAGGTGGGCACTTATGCCACTGAGCCATCTCCCTGGCCTTTGCAATGGTAGTATTAACTCTACACAAGACAACTTAAGAGTTATGTGTTAGGTATGTGTTAGGCACTGAACTTATCTCAAAACAACATATATTTGGTTATAGAACACAAAAATATTTTCAATCATACATACATTTCCTCTTAAACACGTGCTCCATGGGGCCAGGGAGATGGCTCAGTGGAATAAGCAGCGCTTGCCTGGCAAGCATGGGGGCCTGAGTTCAATCCCGGTTCCACGAAAAAAACCCAAAACATGTGCTCCAATTCACTGATACGGTTTTTGGTTTTGTTTTTTTAAGACAGGGTCTCACCATGAAGTTTAGGCTGACCTTGAACTCACAGCAATCTTTTTGCCTCAGTTTCCCAAGTGCTGGGACTATAGGCTTCATTGATTTCTTAATACCTTCTTGTCCTAGTTTTTCATATTTATCATTCTAGAATAGAGACTGAAATGCATGTGACAATCAATTTCAAGACATACCCTTTTCTTAGCCTAAAAAATAGGGATGATCCCACCTAATATGGCAGATACACTGATTAAATAATGCATGTAAAGTTCAGTGCCTAACACATACCAAGTTATCAGTATTTACTTTATTATTAATAAAACTGTGTGAACACCTGGATCGTCTGAAGGAGCCACTATCTCCTATCTTACAGGGCAGTGATGTGAACCTTTTAGAACTTCAATGATACAAACAGCCCACTGTGGCACACGTCATAGGTTCGCCACCTATGACCACTGTTATAGTGTAAAAGAAATTCCTTCCTAAACTGTGTATGGTGGCGCAAGGCTATAATCCCAGCACTCGAGAGGCTAAGGCAGGAGGCTCATTGCAAGTTCAAGGCCAGACTGGGTTACATAGCAAGACCCTTTCTCAAACCAAAACAAAACAACAAAAAAAAACCACAGAAAAGAAAAAAGAAATGCCTTCTTCACCTCAGTCTCTGGAGAAGCAGCAGCGAGGCATTTCTGAGCAGCTTCTTGAGTCATGAATTGGACAAATGCACAACCTACAGAGAGACACAAAATTCAGTTAAGATCCCAAACTCTGTGGTAAGCCAAAAAGCCAAAAACAATACCACATGACAAAGAGCCACAGCCTGACATCAAATCAAAGGGATAAGAAACATCCATTTATTAAGCACTATTAGACGGATTCTATGTCAGGTAATAAAGGGTCAAAGGTAAATCTGATAGTATACTTGCTCTCAGTGTGAAATTTTATTATTTCTTTCATGTTCTCTGATGTATCCTAGTACTGCAGCATCACTGACTCTCTTCTTAATAAAATCTACATGAAATGATAAATACCAGCAGAGCACTTAACATCACTTACCGAAGTACCTATTAGAAGACTAAAAGATGAGGTAGGAACCACTTAACCCTAAAATTAATTACATCTTACTATCTCAGAATCACTTGGGAGACATCAGATAAGAGCAGATCTGCCTTGGGGGGGGAAGGCTGGTATTATATGAATACCACAGGAAATCAGAAAGTCATACATTCAATTCTTGGCTCATGCACTAGAATCTTCACAAACCCTGTCGTTCACTGGGTAGATGCAGGCCCAGGCAGTCCAGAAAAATTTCTGCTACTGACAATAAGCAGCTTTATAAGCATAGGGGGAAAAAATGACTTACAGAAAAGAAATTCAAGTTTCGTAATATTTTGCTAGCAATCCTTTAAACTTTAAATATTTTCTCATATGTGAAAATACCCACCATATTACCTAGAGTGCTTGAGGCATCACTTTCTATAGAAATGAATGACACCCAAATAACTGAAAGGAACTATGAAGTAGGCCAACCCCAGGATCACTATTTAGTGAGGACTTCTCTGCTTCCTCCAGGCAGGGCTGAAAGCTCCTACTTCTGTCTCCACCCTTTTCCATCTTTCACATCTCTCATGTCACTGGATAGTATCTTCCCAAATACAATTGTACTAGTTAATACATTTTATCAACTTAGCTTTATCAGCCAGGTGGTTTGGAGAGGGTCTGGGCCCCAGAGTGACTCAATACAAAAAGGGTATATGAAGGGATTGAGGAAGGATTCAGTGTTTCACTTTCTTAGAGGAACTTCAGTCTTCGCAGTCAGTTTGGATATCATCTCCTGGCTTCCAGCACAGAGACTCTTCAACATCTGGCTTAGATCCTTCAGTTCTCCATCACAGATTCTTCAGCCTTCCATCGTAGACTCATCAGCCTTCCATCCCTTCCATCGCAAACCCTTTGGCCGACTGATACAGACTTGCATGGAACACTGCAGTGAGCTTCACACCTTGGGACTCCTTCAGTCTCAGGTGTGCAGACGTCCTCTGCACACTTCCTCATCTGACTGTGCAGCGGACCCACATAAGCCGATCTTGTAATTTCTTATACATCTTGTATAAGAAGATTTGTACATCTTGTGTTATATCTGTCCCTTATATTATATCTGTTCCTCTAGTAAAACCCTGACTGATACAAGAATGAATGCCTTAGGAATAAAGACCAGCTATCACAGCATACAATATTAACAGATATGTAGCAGGAAAACACAAATACAATCAGATGTCTATTTCCATCAGTTCTGTATTGGTAGATCCAACCACAGAATGAAAATATTTATGGGAAAAAAATGTATCTATACTTAACATGTACAGACACTTTCTCTTGACATTCCCTAACACAATACAGTTGAAAAGCTATTTACACTGTATTAAGTACTGTACATAATCTAGAAATGATTTAAAGTATATAGGAAGATATATATAGGTTATATGCAATATTATAAAAGAAATCTTAACACAGATTTTGGTGTCTGCCTTGGTCTTGGAACTAATTCCCCCATTGGTACCATGGGAAAAATGTAATGAAAATATAGGAGGAAATGTTTCTAATGGGTAGATTGGCCTACTTGTCTAATATGAACAAAATGGGTACTTTCTCTGTAGTAAAAATTTATCATTGGAATTTCCAGTGTCAGTGCTAGAAAAATTGCAATTTCTTATACATTTGTACATCTTGTGTTATATCTGTTCCTTGTATTATATCTGTTCCTAACATTTAATATTGCATCAATCTTAACATTTTCCTTAAAGTCTACAGACTTTTTTTTTCAGAACGTGGGACTGAGCTCAAGTCCTTGCCTTGGCAAGTGCTTATTTTACTGAGCTATCTCCCCGGCCCCAAAGTCTATAGATTGTATTTAGCGCTTCTACATAGTGAAATGGCATGCTCGGTTTATATTTTTTTCCCTCTGAGAAAAGACAAAAAGCAAGTAATTTGAAAACATGATTTACGTTCAAACCACACATACACACACACACACACGCGCGCGCACGCGCGTGCACACACACATATACACGGGTATAGCCCAGTGGTACAGAGTACTCCCCGAACATGCACAGGCCCTATAGGCTGGGGAGATAGCTTGGTAGAATAAGCACTTGCCTGGCAAGCACAAGAGTCTGAGTTCAATCCCCGGTTCCGCCAAAAAAAAAGAATGAATTCTCACAGGTTCTAGGTTTGATCCCCAGCAGGGGTGGAGTGGAGGAGGGGTAGAGGGTTAATCCAGGGATAAACTCTAGAGAAGCCACGAGCCTTCTAAAGTAGCATTTCCCTCCCCCACAAGCTGTATAAAAAGGTTTATAGCTCTTCCTAGACCACAAAGGAACCAAGAATCAGAATTAAGAATTCTGCTTTAGAATGGCTTAAGTCCATAAAGTAAAAGATTATGTATGAATGGGTTGGAAAGATGTTTCTCTAACAGTGACGTAGTAGAATGTAGAGTAGACTGGCCAGATAGCTCAACGGACTAAAAGCTGTTTAGGCAGGCGCAGCGGCCAGGGTTCAATCCGCAGTGTGCCGAGCTGTGCCAGCCCCACCCCTGGGGTGTGCTGAGATGAGACTGAGTTCGGGAGTGGTGGCATACACCTGTAATCCCAGCACTTGGGAGGCTGAAAACAGGAGGATCACTACAAGTCCAATCTGTGTAGTGAGACCCTGTACTAAATACATTAAAAAAATAATGCAGAGTGGTTAACTCTTCCAATACAAAAAAAAACAGCTTTATGGGGAAAAATATTCATCCAGGTAGCATGCTTGCTACATAGTTTTTCTTCTGACTATTGCCATGCAACAAAGTTTCTGTCAGCTTCCAACTCTAACAAAAACAAGAAAAAAAAAAAAGATCCCAGTAATTTCAAGCAATGCAGAATGATTAATACTCATGAGATGCTATCACATTTGAAATTCAAAGGACAACAAATGGAATTCATTACCCTAAAGTAAATAAGCAAGAGCTTAAAATGCTTAGACAAAATTATGGCTGGCAATACCATTAAAGATGCTGAATTTGACACTATAGAAGACAACCTCAGAATGTCCTTGGGCTTCAATAGAAGGTAGTGGGCTGGAATGGACTATGGATCTTCTCAAAATAAAATATTTTGCATTCATGTAAGCTAGTCAATGCCTAGGCAGTAACCAAAACTCTTTAAGGTGAGGCCAACTAACTGCAAATACCTTTAGAATGCTCTGTGTCTGGATGCAAGACAATGCGGACATATTTAAGATCTCCAAACTGCTGGAGGAGCTCCCCAAGTTCTTCTTCCTCTGAGTCAAAGGACAGGTTTCTAAGGAACACAATCAAAAAGGTCATAAGAAAGGTCAGCAACAAAGTGAGATCCTGTGTTCCAGGATAAGGTAAATGACATCAAATGTCCTTTCCTCACAACCACCCTTTTTTGCTCAGAAATAGGCCCAACAGAGAGGGGTGGCCCTCAGTAGCCAAGCCTCTGCTATACGATTCTGCCCCTTGCTCCCAACTCACTAACCCTCCTCTATCTTGCCCAGGGATTTGAAGCTTAAATAAATATATACAAAGACAAGAAGCTGTAGATGCAGATTAAGTTCAAAATAGCAGTGTTTCAGGGCCAGCCAGATAGCTCAGCATACTAAAGTGCCTGCCTAGGCAGGCACAGGAACTGTGGTTAGATTCCTGAGATGCTCTGAGACAGCAATTGAGACTGGGTGTGGTGGCACACACCTGCAATCCCAGCACTTGGGAAGCTGAAAACAGAAGGATCACTATGAGTCTGATCTGAGTAGTGATGCTGTAGACCCTGTACTAAACATATTTTAAAAAATGTGTGTGTGTGTGTGTGTGTGTGTGTGTGTGTGTGTGTGTTTCACCAGAGAGACTTCTGGGGTGCTATAAATATTCTATGCCATGATCAAAGTGTGATTACATGTATATATATAATACACACACACACATGAAAGATTTCACTATGATTTGAGCAACGGACTTTATAGAACGTTGTATCTCTTAAAAAAAAAGTGGTGATCCCAGAGAAAAGACCCATAGCCTCCTACAGCAGTGGGTCCCAGAACTATCTAGATTTTGATCTACTCCTTGAGGTCTACTTTTCAACAACTCAATTTCTATGAGACCCCAGTGTTCATCCAACAAAGGCTTCTTCACATAATGTGACCAAAATTAGTTTCTCTTACTATACCCACAAGATTCAGACTCACAGGAGTCTAATGCAAAAAATTGTCTTCTGCTCTCTGACATTTTTCTTCTATGTCATTATGAAATTCAGATTTCTTTAAAATTTTATGAAAGTCAGAAAATCCTTCAAAGTAGCATAAAAGCAAACATGGTAAAGTTTACCAGCTAGCTGCAAAAAGAGAAAACTATATGTACAGTGTCTTTAACTCAAAGAATCAAAGCCAGGTATGGTCGTGCATACCTGCAATCCCAGCACTTGGTAGGCTGAGGCAGGACTGAATGAGCTCAAGGCCAGCCTACACTACACAAAAAGACCCAACACCAACAAAAACTCAAACTTTTGAATACCAACAATGCTCAAAAAGTTCTGGATTAGCCAGGCATGGTGATGCACACCTCTAATCCCAGCATGTGGGAAGCTGAGGCAGAAGGATC